CTTAATAATAATATTTTATTGAAAACAACTTTTATAATATAGAAAATCATAAAAAAAAGTAATTTTTTTTTAAATGATTTAGAAAGAACTTCTTATTTTTTTTTTATATATTTTTATAAAAAAAATTATAAATATTTTTATAAATTTTTAATTAATTTTTACTATTTTTTTAAAAAAATATTTTTTACTATTTTATATTTCATTTAATATATATATAAATTTTTCTAAAATTTTTAAATTTATTTGTGCATAAAAAAAAAATAATGATAAAGTTAAATTTATTAATTTTAATTTATAATAAATATTTACTAAAATATATTAATATTATGTCATCAAAAAATTAAAAACAAGCCATTTGAAATTATAAATATTATTAGTTTTAAATATAAATTAAATAATTTAAATTTAACTTAATCATATCTAATTAATATTTATCATATCTAATTGAAATTTAAACTATATAATTAATAAATTTAAAAGATTAAATCTAATTAATAAGCATTACATATTATTTAAAAAAAATATTATAAATAATATTCATTACATATAAAAATTTAATTTGAATACTTAATTTATTTATTTTAATATAAACTACGTCTTTTTTTTTTTTTGAATAGGTAATAAAAATAACATATATTAAATATATCAGAACCAACTGTATACAATATATAATGTTGCCAAAAATAATATTCCTATAATAATATATAAAATTCTTTTGTTTTTGATAATATTAGAATGTATTCTATTTACAAGTTAATGGGCAGCCCCTAAATCGCTATCGATTTCTAATGTATCTTTATTTAATTTATCTAATTTATCATTTTATCTTTTTAATTCAGCTTAAATATTTTCAGATTGACCTTCCAAATCATACATGTTTTTTTTTGCTTCAATTAATTTTTAATTTTGATTATTTAGCTTTTAATAAATTTCATTTTTTTAATTATTTATTTATGTATTTCCCATTAATTCTATATAATCTTTATTATATTGTAATTTTTTTCTTATTCTTTACATTCTTTAGTAAAACCTTCAATTTAATATTTCATATTTTAAATCTTTATTTAATATTTGTATAAAATAATTTTTTTGTTAATTTATAAAATAATACAGTTCTTTTAAATTAGGTCCTTTAATTTTAAGGTAATTGACTTATTTCTTAATCAAGACATTTAATCTTTTTTAATTAAATTTTAATTAATTTTATTTATATTTTAAGATATATATATTAATTCAAAAATACTGTATTTTATGCATCTTCTATATCTCTTTTTATTTCTATTATTGTTGAAATATCTATTTATTATTTTAAATATATTATTTAAAATATATTTTCATAAAAAATATATGTATATATTTAATTCTTCTTCTAATTTTTTTTTTTTATTACCACAATTTTCTTTTACTTTCTAAAGTTTATTAATTATTTAATCTTTTATTTTTTCGTAATCTGATTAATAAGACTCATAATTTTCATTTAAAGGATAATGTTAGTCCATTTATAAAAAAAGAAAAAAATAAATTATTAATAATTATTAATTATATATTTATATTTTTTATTTCCTATGTTAGAAATCAATTATTAATTTATAAAAATTATATATATATATATATATATATATATATATGAATATATATATATATATATATATATATACATATATATTTTTTATCTTTTTTTTAAAAAGCTAATTTTTAATATTATATATATATGCTTTTTAAAATTTTTTAATTCAACTTATTTATTTAATATTAAAATCAAAAAATAATAAATATTTTTTTTATGAAATGTACCTAAATATATATAATATATTAATTTAAATAAATGTTATATTATTTTAGATACTTATTACTTAGATTTCAATAATAATTTTTCTATCAATATATATTAATATTAATTTTTTTTTTTAAATATAAATGCAGTTAAGCAATTATATTTTAAATTAAAAAACAAATATAGTTTTTCATTAAAATATAAACAAAGTATTAGAAAATAATCATATACAAAATAATATAAATTAAAATACGATTTAACATTCAGAATAGTCTTTGTATATTAAAGACGTAGAATTCGAATCACAATCAATAATAATTTTAGATAACTAATAATCTCCTCCATAAATAAAGAAATATTTCAAAAATTTACTTATATTAAGTAATGAAGAAAAATAAACAAATTAGAACATTAATTAACAAGAAGAATCTATAAATTATATGTATTTATAAAAAAATAATATATTTAAATGCTAATAATAGCAATAATAAAATAATAATAATAATCAAGTACCGATTGCATAATAAGTTTATTTAAGTATTATTTAAAGTTAAGATAAGTTGAATTATAATCAAAATAATAATGGTAAATAAAATTATTTGTAAGCTTAAAATAAATAAAATGAAAACTAATCGTAATAAGAAAAAAAAGGATTTAAAAAAAAAAAAATATTTGGTACTTCTAGAGTTTTAGTATAGAGTAATTAAAATTAAAACGAAACTAAAAATAATTGTAGTAGCAATATTAGAAAATAGACTATGTAATATTTTATTTAAAAAAATTAAAACTAAGAAGAATTTTAAACAAGTACTTTCGAAGAATAATAAACACGAAAATAAATTCTACCTAAATTTTCTGAGCCATGTAGATTTAATAAATTTAATGATGAAAACAAACAAATATTAATTGTATACAATAATGGATGTTATAGTTTAAGAAAAAACTAAAATGATAATAATGATAATGATAAAAATATATTTAATAATTTAAAAAATAATGATAATTAAATTAGTTTTTGTAATTTATCAATTATTGAAAATATAAATAATGTTAATAATAAATTTATTTGTTTATATTTTATTTTAATTTTTATAGATATCTAATAATTAAAATATTTAATAAATATAAAAAGATAATAATACAAAGCCATTAAAATAGAATAAAAAATTGTAAATAATTTTAAGAATTTATTATGAATTTTTTTTTTTTTATTTTTTAAAAAAAGACTTATTTTTGAACAGAAAAAATTATTATTTATGTAAAATTATAAATAATGTTCTTAATAAAATTAATGTAAGTTTTTATAAAAAATAAAATAAAATACTTACAAATAAAAATAGAAGTAAAAATAATTGATGAATAGAAATAAATAAATAATTAATTAGAATCTATAAATTAGCTTTAACAATAAATAAATATAAATATTTTAAAAAATAAACTTTAAATAAACTAAAATAAAAAAATAAAAATACATATGAGTAAAAAGTATTCATGATATATATTTTCTATTAAATAAAAAGGTAAAATACTTAAATAAATTTATATAATTTATTATTTATATTATATATATACTAACTTGCTTATATTTTTAATATATTTGTTTTTTTATTAATTAAAATAATATATTTTTAAATATAAACTTTATTTAATTTAATTAATAAAATATTAATTTCAATTTTTTTTTATATATTTAACTAAAATTACTTCCTAATAAATTAAAAAATTTATTATAAATTAAATATTAGTTTATTTATTTCATTTTTAATTAGGCTTATTTTACAAAGTATTTTTTTATTAAATAATATTTATTTTCTACTTATTTTATAATCTAATTTATTAAGACTTCTATCCTATAACTGTATTACTTTTTTATATGTCATTATTTTAATTAATAACAATTTCTTTATTATTAATTTTTTAATTTTTAAATTATTCTAACTATTTTTACTATTATCATTCCCTTATATATTCTTTTCAAATAAACCGATAATTTAATCACAAAGCAAAGGTACAATATCTTCAGCTTTTCTCTACAATTAGTAAGTATTTCCTACCTCAATAATACATTAAAGATTAATTTCCACAATAGGAATTTTTCTAATAATAGCACTTTTAACTATTTCAGCCGCCAAACTAGTCTCCAGCATACTTCCTATACAAACTAAAATATCCATTTAACTAAACTTTTCCTTAACAGTATTTACTTTGTATTATTTTTCAGTATAAATTTCATCGAAATAAAGAACATGGGGGCGTGCTTATTAATTACATTTTTCACAAATGAAGTCTTTATAAGAATTGTAAAATTCAGGCATTTTAAAAATCAAGTCATATTTATCACATTTTATATTATCACATCTCAAAAAATCTTTATTTCCATGAATTTCATAAACTCCTTTACAAAATCCAATGATGTTTTCTTAATCTTATTTTTAAAAAATTTAATTATAAGCTAAAACATCTAATCCATCAATATTTTAAGTTGCTAAATTAAATTCTTAACCATTTTTTTAATAGAAATATTAAAGTTCTTATATTTTTAAATGCGATATATTAGGTTTTTTGCCCTTCATAGTGTTTAAAAATTAATTATTTCTTTCCCAAAATAATTCAGGTTAATTTTTAAAAAATTTGTATGTAGCAATTTCTTCATTTTTATATGTAATTCCATTTTTTTCGAATAAAGCAGATGAACCTTCACCTCTAAATGTAGGAACACCACTTGCTAATGATATTCCAGCACCAGTTAAGAAAAATACTTTCTTATTTTAATCGGAAAATAATTTAATGACTTCTTCTAAAGTACTTTCTTTTGATAAAGGATAATCTTTATTATGATCACCTTTTTTATGAAACTATTTTTAAATAAATGTTTCTGATATTCTAGAACATAATCCAGTAAATACCTCATCGTATTTTTTATAGAAATTATCTATTTTAAGGGTTGTTTAATTTAGTTGTTCTAATGAGGATTTTGTCGATGTGATGGTTTTTTCACATATTTATAGCGTTTCTTAACATTATTTACGAACTTCTTCAATCATTTTTATAATCCTCTCATGTTTTTATTTATCAGTTTCTATTAAATTCATTTCTTTTTTTACTAATTTAATTTTAATTTTTTTTAATATTAAATTTAAATCCAAAGTAAAAAATGTTTAAAGATTAAATTTTTTTCTGATAAATTTGTTTAAAACTATATATCGTTTTATATATTAAATTGTTTTTTAAAAATGTTAGAAAAAATAATAACAATAAAGTTATTACATTTATTTTTTTATATAAAATATAATTAATTAATAATTTAATTATTTATGAATAAAAATTAATATTAAATATATAAAATTTTGTCTTAATTATTTTTAATATTAAAAATTTTCATATGTATTTAAAATTATAAAATATCAATTTATAAAATTATTATTATCAAATAAATAATATATTCTTTTTAAACTATAAACTTAATTATAAAAACAATTAAATAAAAATAAATATTAAATATAACATAAATATAATAAAAATTATTAATTGTGAAATTATTAAATATATATTTTTAAGAAAATAAAAAAATTTATATATAATGAAAATATGTTTATATATATATATAATTTATTCTTAATTATCATTAATATAAATAATTTTTTAAATGTATTATTAATTATCAAATATTTTTTATAAAATTATTATTATCAAGAGAATATATATATTTTATTTCAAAAAAAATAAAATATTAAATAAAATAAAATTATTAATATTAAATTTTTAAATTTTTTATAATATAATTTTATATAAAATATATAATTATAAATAAAAATCTTAAAATATTTTAATATATATTATAAATATTTTATAATAATTATATATTATTTTAAAAACTTATATATATTTTATAATAATCTAATATTCATTTATAAAATTATTTTATCGAATTTATATAGATAATTTCTTTGAAAAAAAACCTGAATATTATAGAAATAAAAAAATAAACAAATAAATAAAAAAAGACATATTTATAAATAATAAAAATTAATAATATTTTTATTGTGAAATATTTTAATTCAATATGAATAATATATATATTTTTTAAAATAAATATTTTAATCATAGAAATAATATATATATATATAAATAAATTAATATATCCTTAATATTTTTATATATAAATATAAGATTTAATATTAATTACATTCAATTATTTTTTATTATCTTTTAATATTATCATTTTATATAATTTTATTTTATCTAAAAAAAAATTTTATTAAGACTAAATATATCTTAAAAATAATTAATGATAAAAAATATATAATTTGTTGAGAAATCTTTAATTATATAATAATATAAATTTTAATGTATAATAAATATATATAAACATATATGTATATATATGCAATAATATTTTCTAGTATTTTATTTTTAAATTCTTTACAATATTTTAATTTTTAAATTTTTTTTACAAATAATATATTCTTAATTTTTTATTTATAATTTAATATGAATAATTTAAATATTAATAATAAAGAATATATTTATTAGATTGTAAACAAATAATAATAATAATATAATCTCATTTTATTTATTTAAAATGCAAATGTTTTTCAATTAAATTATTTTTATATAATTTAAAAATATAATATTTAATTTAAAAATTAAAAATATATAAAAATTAAATAAATGAACTATAAAGATATAATTAGAGATAAGAGAAATGGAAATGAATTGACCAAAGAACAAGTATTTGCTGTAGTTGAAGGAGTAACCTAAAAGCAAATACCAGATTACTAACTATCAGCTTTTCTTATGGCAGTATATTTTAAAGGAATGACTATTAAAGAACGAGGTTATCTTACATAAGCAATGGCTAGTTCTGGCAAAACTATGGACTTTTCACATATTCCTGGAAAAAAAGTAGACAAACATTCTACGGGAGGTGTTGGTGACAAAACATCTATAATATTAGTCCCTTTAATGATGGAATTAGGTATAAAATCGCCTATGGTTACTGGTAGAGGGTTAGGGCATACAGGAGGTACAACTGATAAATTAGAATCAATTCCTAATTTTGTATAAGAACTCACATTTGAAAAAATGGCTGAATGTATGAAAAATCTTGGAACTTTTATGGCTACTCAAACTGCAGATATAGCCCCTGCTGATAAAGTTATTTATGGCATGAGAGATTCTACAGAAACAGTTGAAGAAATCTCTCTTATTACAGCTTCTATTTTATCTAAGAAATTCTCTGAAAATTTAGATGCTTTAGTTATGGGTAATATAAATTTTTATATTAATATATTTTTATATTTTTTTTAATTTTTATAGATGTAAAATGTGGTCCTTCTGCATTTATGCATACAATCGAAAAAGCGACTGAATTAGCTGATTCAATTAAAAAAACTTGTGAAGTGACAGGAGTTTTATGTAAGGCTTGTATTACTCGTATGGATTTCCCTTTAGGAGAACATATAGGAAATGCAAATGAGATTTATGAATGCATTTAGTCTTTTGATCCTACTAGCAAATATGGAGATTCTGCTAGACGTTTATAATTTGATAAAGGAGTTAAGGGCTTAGTTAAATTTTAAGATGGATTATAAAGCGGAGTCGATTTATTAATTTTAATAACTTTTGTTTTGGCTTTGTAGATAGTTATAGTTAGTGGAAAAGAGTAAGATGAGGAAAAAGCATTTAAATTGGTAAAAGATGGATTTTTAAGTGGAAATTTAATGAAACATTTTAGAAATTTATGTAAAGAACAAACTGGAGATTTAGATAGCTTTCTGAAACATTATTAGACTATATAAGAACATTTAGACAAGAATGAATAAAGTGAAAAAGTTATCGTTTTTAGAGCTAGTGAAGATTTTAAAATTAAAAAATTAGATGGGGTTAAATTAGGTAATATTATGGTTGATCTTAATGCAGGAAGAAAAGTTTTTGGAGAAAAAATTAATCATGATGTTTCTATATAATGGTATGCCTATCCTAATCAATTAATTAGGAAAAATGATATTATATGTAAAGTATATCATCCTTTGTTTACTTAACATAATGAAGGGGGGAAAATATACACTACTTATAAATCAGATAAACATTTTTCTACTCATATTATTGAAAGACTATAGGGATGCCTAGATATTACTTATGATCTTAATTATTAATATTAAGAACCTTTTATTTATGATGTTCTTTGAAGTATTATTTTTTTTAATATAAGATTTATTTTTGATATTCTTTATTTTATTTAATTTTTATAAAATAATAATAATAATAATACATTAGATTTTTTTTATAATTAAAAAAAAATATAATTATTATTAAATAAGTTTTTTATTTTTTTATTAAAAAAAATATTAAAATATTTAGTAACGATTTTATTTAATGCTTATATTACAATCTATTAATAATTATTATCATTAGTTTTTTGAACTTCGATATCATTAATATTTATATATAATATCTTTTTCCCAAATAACTTAAATGAGAAAGTAAATTATTATTGATGAATTCATTTTTTATCAATATCTTATAAAACTTTTTAGAAAAATTGTTTTTTTGTTTTTTGTTAAAATTCGAAAGTTTATTGACTAATCTAATATTATCTTATTTTTTACAACTTTCTTCTTATCCTTTTTTAATTTCTAAGATAATTTTATTAATTTTAATTACTTTCTTATTATGATTTGATCTTTTTTTTAAAAAAAAACTTATTTCTTTAAATGATTTTTTTAAAAAATACAGATATTTTTTTGGAATTGAAGTTTTTTGATTATTTATACATTTTGAAAATTATTTTCTAAATTATTTTTTAGTTTAAAACCATTTTATTCATTTATTAATATTTTTTATAAAAAAACTATAAAGAAATAATAAAATTATTAAAAAAAATTAATATTATAAATTTAATTTAATAAAAGTTTTTATTTTATTTATTTTTCAATTCAATATTATTTAATTATTTTTATCAAAAATTTATTTAAAAATATTAATTTTCTTTTATTCAAACTTTTGTTTTCATTTTTTAAATTTTATTTTTCATATAATAAATTAGAATTTTCCTTTTAAAAAAAAAAAAATCCTTTTTATTATTAATTTCATTTAAAAAAATTATATTTTTATTAAATTTCAATTTTTAAAATTTTAATTTAATTTTTTTAAATATAAATTCTTTGTTATTATTAAGGTTTTTTATTTTTTTATTTTATTTTAATTATATTATTTAATTATTTATTCTTCACTTTAACTATAAATTATCATTATATTTGCATATATGATATTTTTCAATAAATATATCTTTATTCAAATTATAGGTTAGCAATTTTTATAAATCTTTTATTTGTTTTTTATGAATTTTCTGCTCATCTTATAATTATACTAATTGATTTGATGCATTATATAAATAATATATATAAATTATTAATAATGTTTTCATTAACATCTATTGATATTTAAAATTCTTATTAAATAATAAATAAAAGAATTTTGTTTATTATATTTATACATAATTAAAAAAAAATATAATACAAATAATATATTGATAATATTAATATAAATTATATAAAAAAAATTAATATTTTAATATCTAAAAAGTATATTTAACATTTATAATAAATATTCGTAATTTCTTATATATATTAATTAATATAATATAAAATATGTTTTATGATAAAATTTCATAATTTTTATAAAATATTTTATATAATTTTATACTATTAAAATAAAAAATATATTGCAACAATGAAGAGTATAAATAAATCAAACAATGCAATTTAAAATTTATGTTTATTAAATTATTAAAAATTATATTTAAATATATATATGTATGATAAATATTTATGCAATCCTAAATGTTTTTTAATAAAAAAATATATTGTTTCCTATATCAATTAAAGATAATTTTTAAATATAAAATAAACTATGAAATAATAATATTTTTACGAAAATATGTAAAAATATAAAAATTTTTATCGAAGTTATCCAATTAAACATCTATTACTTTAAACAGTAAAATATTTTTGATTTTAATCCAGTTTTTTTTGTAATTTAGATTTTAATTATTTATGACCATATTCATAAAATTTCTAAATCTAAATATTATTGAATTTATTAAAAAAAATATATAATTTAAAAAATTAATATCTGGACCAGAATCCTATACTGAAGATAAAAATATATATATATATTATTATTTTGTATAAACATTTTTTAATGATTAATTTAATATAAAGACTACATTCGAAAATTTAAGTTAATATTTATTTATTAATTTCATTATTAATGTTATTTAAAAATTGAATTTAAATAATACTTTGGTATATTTATTTAAAGAGTATTTTTATAATTAATACGTAAATTAATTTTATTTAAAATTATTTTTATATCTTATAATAAATAATATATATAAATATTAATATTAATAATTACTTTTTTTTATTCTTTTATATATTTTTTTATTTTTAATTATTACATTTATATTAAAATTATGAATTTATTTATATAAAATTTTATTTTTTCTATATAAATAATATTTTATGTATATATATACATGTATATTATAATAATAATCAAATATATTTGTTTATTGTTAACAAATTATTTATAATAATTACAATTTGTTTAATAAAGATGAGTCTTTATATAAGAATCTAATATATGTAAATTTAATAAATAATTTTTGGATATAAATGTTAATATTAAATATATATAAAAGTGAATGTATATAAAATTTTTAATATAATGAATACTTGCAAGTATTAATAAGTATAATTATTTAAGAATAATTTTTATATTTTTTTAATTTTAGAAACAAAAAATATAAAAAGTATTAATAACTAACTATATATATATATATATATATATATATATATATATATATATATATTAATAATTATTTTTATAAAATTTTAAATAAATAAAATATATTTTAAATTGTTTTTTTTCAATTATTTATAATTATACAATATAATTTTATTATTAATTACTAAAAAAATTATATAAGGTTTGTAAAAATTCTATTTAAAAATAAAAATTAA